AACAAAAGTATCAACACGAACAAAAGTATCAACACGAACAAAAGTAAAGTATCAACACGAACAAAAGTATCAACACCAACAAAAGTATCAACACCAACAAATGTATCAACACCAACAAATGTATCAACACCAACAAAAGTATCAACAGCAACAAAAGTATCAACAGCAACAAATGTGGCAACACCAACACAACTATCAAAACTATCAACACCAACAAAAGTATCACAACAAAAGTATCCACACCATCAAAGTATCAACACCAACAAAAGTATCAACACCAACCTATTTCAAAACTACGTCACATTTATTTCTAATTTTTTAAAACATGGCTTAATAAGTTTGGCAAAGTTTAACTCATATCAAACACAAAATAATGATTTATAAACAAGAATATACGATTTTCAATACTTGTCATTATCAAAGACAACATCAGTAATGAATATCTTTTAAAACAATGGAACTTTACAATCAAAGGGAATCACATTCATTATATATCAATCAACATTTAGGATGAACTTTGTACTCAACACGTGACATCAACACGTGACGTCAACACGTGACGTCAATACGTGACGTCAACACTTGACATTAAGGCATCGTAGTAAAAACACTTGAGGTCCTTTTAAAGTCGATTGGTCTACTGAATACACTGACCCACTTATACCCTGACCCACTAAACTCTGACCTACTCAACCCCTAACCCACAAAACCCGTACCTACCTAACCTCTAAACCTCTCAATTTCAGTCTCACCGTACTTATATCTCACTAAACTCATTGGCTCATAAAGCCCATGACACACTTATTTTGTCCAACCCTTACCCACCAACCCTTACCTACCAACCCTTACACACTAACCCCTGGCACACTAAACCCGTGACCCACTTTACTACATGACCCACTAAACCCCTAGCCTACTAAACCCGTGACCCACTTAACTACCTGACACACTAAACCCCTAGCCCCTGGCCTACTAAACCCGTGACCCACTTAACTACCTGACCCACTAAACCCCAAGCCCGTGGTCCACTAAACCCGTGACCCATTTAACTACCTGACCCACTAACCCCCTAACCCACTAGCCCCCGACCCACTAAACCCGTGACCCACTTAAAGACCTGACCTAGCATTCCTTAAACTATTTAACTCACTGGTAAAATCCTAGACCTATTAAACCCCTAATATTGAGACAATATCGTTAGCTGCTGTAGTACACTGACCCACAAAAAACCTACAACTTAAATCTCTTTTCAAAGATAGGTTTTCCGCAAACCGGAAATGTAGACAATAATTCGTCATAACAAAAAACATCACACACGTCATGACAAGAAACAAAAACATCACAAATACACCGGATGTCAACAGTAAAAACAAAACCAAATCTAAAATAGAAAATATTTGCTGCCACAAGACATCTCAATCAGAAAAATGCGCAAAAATGTTTAGCATTTCGCAGCTGCACAATAGAGACCAGTTTAAAAATAAAAATCACAAAATCACTCAAATTAGAACTTGTAACAGATTTGTATTTAAACAGCAGCTCTTTTATTGTTTCTCAAAAGCAAACTCTAAAGACCCCTAGTCTTAAGACTACAAGTTAACAATTCTACTAGTTGAATACTTAACTAGGCTTCAGGCTTGTCCGTGCAACGATATCTTCTATATATATATATAATTCTCTTCATGCAGACCGTAGAAGACATTACGCGGCTGAGCCACCACCCTCATCCCCACCTGTCAGGTGAGCTGTGGTTCACCCCGAATGTTTACAATCGTAGAGCCAGGTAGGCTATTACTATTAGGGGTAGGGGCAGATAATTTAGATTTAAAAAGGGGAGGTAATAATTTATGCCATAATTATTGTCGTCTGTAAACTGACTTCACTGACGGCTGCTTTCACGGATTTCGCGGGAGGGGTGGGGGTGGGGAGGGAGGGTGAGTATAATCGTCTTTACCAGCTACTGATAGTGTTTTTAAAGCAAAATATTTTCAGTCGCAGCATTGGTAGTGAATTATGAATTACTGAAAAGTAGAAAATAAAACAACTAAACAGCGGCGTATGCTTACGGCGCGGGTCAGCTCGTAAACGTATAATTTAAATTTTTCTTACTAACATGTTTACACCTGTAATTATTTTAAAATTCGCAAGTCGAAATCGACATGGATATTATATGGTGCAACTAATAAATAACTGTATTTGTAAACATCCAAGATTTTGAGGAAATTAGTCAAACACGGTAATTAGAAACAGAATATTTGATCAATTCGAATTTTAATTCGTTAGTTTTTGTAGTTGATTCTACAACTTTAAAACTTTGAAAGATTAAAATTGAAATGGTAAAACTATCCCTTTATTTTAAACACCATCTAACAATAGCCATTATGTTTTTAGATCACTGTTCTCCACCAGATCATAAAAGAGAGACTGTGAAAAATTTGTTGAATTATTTATACGATTTTTTTTCTGGTTGGTAGGTGTGTAAAAAATATCTACCGTCTGGACTAAAATCTTTTCCATTATTCGGTGTTTCATGGCGTCAGGACAGCCAGATTTGGATCAATTTTGAAACGTATTTTTAACCAATACAAAATGTTGTCATACGTTTTGTTTACAATACATTGGCAACAATCTTTGTTGTGACTTCAGGTCAGAACTAGACCGAACAAGGATTCATGCGCAACAACGTATACATTTCACACGTACAGTTATCAAATATTTATTATAATTTTAAACGGCAAAATGTTGGAAATAGTCAAATACTATTTCACACAAAAGCCGTTTTATAAATATCGATCATTCAGAAAATATCGATCTCACTTTCAAAACTTAACTATACATGGCAATAGAGAAACAGAAAGAAAAAATGTATCTTCAATTAGCTGCAAAATGTTTGAATGTATGTTGTTCATCTCGTGTTCTATGTTCTTTCTAAGCTGCGCGGTTGCGCGGCCGCGCAGTAGTTTTGAAGCTACCGCGCTGTCATTTTGTAAAATACATATATCATTGTACAAAAATTTAAAACATTATATTTAGAAAATTAATTAGGTTCGTATGAGTAGTAAATGTGCCTACACTATTATGGAAAGTTTTGCAAGTCTGTCAAATATTAGTTTCGTTTCCAAGCAGAAAGTATAAAACATTAATGCTAAACCAATTTAAATATTTACTCATCATTACCTTAGTACATCAGCTAACCCTGGATTTATACGTGTACTCTGCTTCACCTATAATCCTTACTACACCACTGTTCTGAACTGCGCCTATATACTACGATTGTATGTTGTGCTCTACTGCACATATAATTGGTGCTACAATACCCTATCAACATTTCATCCAGCTCACTAGTCAAACTACAGCTCTACATTTTGTGCTATTGCTCGTATCAAACGAGACGTAAACTTTAATTGCTAAAGTGAGTTTGTGCGGTAATCAAACTAAGGATCATTGTGATCTAATGCTGTATCAGTTTCTTCCACGCATCTTTTGTGGAAATACTTTTACCAGAGTCCAACCCTCTCCCCCTAAAAATTTCAAGCCCCCCCCCCCAGTCAAGAAACACTATTGTGTACACACACAGTTACCTTGCTAAAGAATAGTCGTACTCAAATGTTTATTTTTTTGGGGGGGGGGAGGGGGGTAGTAAAGTAAACATAGGATCAAGGGCGGGCGGGATGTGCCCCGGGGCATTTTAAAACGGGCCCGCAACCCCAGATTAAAATTTTCATTTTGAATTTATTTTCTCCATGGATTTAAGGCCTTGGTATGGAGGAGTGGTGAAATGACAACCATTTAAAAAAAAAACCGCCGTTTCGGGGGGGGGGGGGGGGGGGGGGGGGAGAGATTTTTTCCTAGGGACCCACCTGAATTTTCCCGGTCGACCCGCGGGCCGGTCCACCCCCGGGTAGGATGAAGAATATTCGTATGGTTATGGCTATAGGTTATACATTTGTGTCAGTTTTGTAGGTAACAATTTCAGACTGTGTCAGACTTGTAGGTTTGATTTCAATTGCTTATAATCAAACATACGATTGCTTGTTAAAACATTCAATCATTCAAGGAATGAATGTGGGATATAGCAATAAAACAAAGTATATAACAACCCTCGCTTACCCGCTGATATATTATGGTACGTTTATCAACATTGAGAAAAATAAAAATACAAATACAATTAGGTCAAGCAGATGGTAATAAATCGTTAGACCCGTGAAAAAAGTTTATTAAAGAACATAATTAATTATGTTAATAAGCCTTGTTTTAATACGATTCCAGAATATCTGATGTGATGTACAAATCCAATTAACGATCCATGTATTGCCGGCGTTTGTGTCGACTTAATCAAATTTGGGAGACTTAATTAATTAAATTAATTAAATTAATTAATTTAAGCGTGGTTCGAGACCACGGAGAGTACATGATGACGTCACAAGCTGCAAACCACCGTTAAGGTAAAACTACGTTAGACACAGGTATTAAGCTGTTCAGGTGAGATTTGTGTATCCGTTTTGTCGGTGCCATCAGGTAGCTGTTCCTGTCTTCTGCCCAAATCTCTCCATCACCAAATGTAACTTCACACATCTACCAACTAAACCACATTTACATTTTAAAGTGTTAACAAGTCCAATGAATATATGTACAATTGGTAAACTGAGACATCCAATGAAATATGTTTTACTGAAACGTCACGTGAGAGTAATGAGGTCAAAATGGTGTCCAGTTAGACGACCGGCCCGTGGGGTGATCTGGTGGGGTGATCGGGAAGACGAGACACTGCTGGGCTGTAATCTCCTATCGCCAGGAGTGATCGATATCAAATGTTCGATGAGAAAGGGTCAGTGATCAAATACGTAAACAGTTAGCAATTATCATGTAAATTAAACGAATACCAAATTATAACAAATATTATATCCAAACATATGTTAATGTTTAACTGTTTTTGTATTGGCTGTCAGGAAATCGTTTTTAAGGCTAACTGTGCGTAGCTGACTTATCGTCTGCTCCAGTCAGTTGACAGTCCGCCGACTTTTGGAGGTCAAATAGTCGTGTTTGGTCGTGGTTGACCTCCACTTGTGCCACGGTCTGCGGACAAGTTCCCTGAGACTCCGGCGAAAACTTTCCGAGAACAGGCTGTAGAGCACAGGATTGAGGGCAGAGTTGAGGTACATGCAGATAAAAGCGAAGGGCGGGAAGAAGCTCAGCTTGAAGGTCGGCGACGGGTACATCTCCCAGTACGTCAACAGCAGACGTACGTGGTGCGGCAACAAGCAGACGGCAAACGTGATCTGTACCAAGACCAGCAGACGAATGACTTTCCGTCTGGAGGACAGCACGCGAATGGAAGTCGCCTGGTATCGATTCCTACTGGTATCGCACTGCTTCGTCTGACCGGAACTTGACGTGTCTGAAGCGCAGTCTGAATGGAAGGAGCGCCGGGAGCCGGAGCGGTGCCGTTTGCCGTTGATGAGCGTGATAGCCTGGTTGAGTTTCTTGACGCTCTGACGCTTTGTGGCAGACGGGCATTGCTGGGGGCAGGAGCCGGACATACACGTCATCTCAAACGTGTTGCCGGCGTGGGTATCTGTGCCGCGGCCATTGTGGGGTGATCGTCTGCTTTGACGGTTCAGTTCTGCCCGGTTGGCTTCATTTCCGGTCGGCCACGACCACTGAATGGGCAGACGATTTCCCTCCATGTGTAAAGTGGGCTGCGCCGGGTTATTTTTAGCTGACGACAGAACCACACTGTCCTCTCCGTGGTTCTGGAAATCCCCGTTACACGAAAACCTTTCGGAAATTTCCGAATACATGGTGCAGTTACACCCCACACCGTTGACGCTGTATCCGGTGTAAGCAACGCTGGAACACCCATGATGGCTGCTCTGTCCGATGCTTCCGTTACTCTTCCTCCTACCGCTGGCAGCACTCCCGGCACCGCTGCTGCTAGAGGACATGGAGGACTTATCCGGGCGCACCATGGGCAGCGTCTTGGTCACGTTCTCCTCGCTGCTGTTGTCGTGGCTCTGTTTGTTGAAGATGTTGCCGGAGTGCCAGAGAGTCCAGGAAATGACGGCGTAGACGCCGGTCATGACGAGGAGCGGAATGAGGTACCAGCAGATGAAGTTGGCGGTGTAGTAGGTTTTCATGTTGATCTGGTACTTGAGGAAGCAGAAGGTGGTGCGGTCGTCGTTCTCGTCGGTGAAGGTGTCGAAGATGATGAGGAGAGGGATGTTGTAGATGGCGGCCAGCAGCCAGGTGATGGCCTGAGGGGGAGAGAAGATGTGATACAAGTTCAAAATATATCACAAAACAACAACAACAAAAGAAGAGCAAAACAGGACAAAGTTTTAAACAGTCCAATTAACCATAAACTCTGTAGATCACAGAATAGATTTAGGCCTAATATATACATGTTGATGAAAGAGTGTCTATTTTACTGTTAGTACAAACATAATCAAATCTGCATACAAGACAGTGTAGATACACTACATTTATAATTCTTTACCCGTTATCAAACCTATTTTATCAAGTTGAGAAACTGGCATTTGTTGGTAAAGATACGGTGCAATCATTTCAGTAAAAGTCTAGTTCAAGTAACTTTCGAACTGTTAGACTGCGATATTTGTTTTAAACTTTCAGATGCTAAGGGCTCAAATTGGTACTTAAATGTAATTAAAACCAAAAGAAAGGAATATTAAATTAAAACAAGGTTATAGATACGAAAGAGAAAACCTTGTGACACTGGGTTGAGACCTACTTAGGTCGAGTCATTTTTATTTTGACATTGTATAATTCCTTATATGGAATGATGGTGTAACACCTGGGGTTTTTCCACTGACTTATTAAGGTGTTTGAGACATAGAAATTTTCCATTAAAATCTGATTGAATGATTCTGATCAGATGATTATCCCAACCAATGGCGACATGAGTTGAGGATAACCTCCCCTGTCACAGAAGTCTTTAATTGCACTGCACACTCGCAACACGGGGCAGTTTTTCTTGACCTAAAAGTCTACGAGGCCGTTTTACCTTGGTCAGGTTGCCGTCCATATTGTCCGGCTATAGACTCTGACCATTTGAACGTGAGAGTACTTAAGACCTGTGTGTGCCTTGCTTTCTTCAGTTGATTTAGTCTTCTAGTTTAATATTACTTGTCGTTAAGTAATTCCTGGAGCTACAGCCGTGTTGTGTGGCCTGTAGCTGTTCTTTAGACAGTGTAGAAATCTGTGATAGTGATTTTTCCTACATTTTGTAAGTTGTGTTTCGATATTTTATACATTAAATATTTTATCTAGTTCATCTTTGTGTTCTGCCACAACTGAGTTCGCTGATTAAAAGGTCGTATGTAGATTGGATGAGTGTTAATTACAATAGTATCACTAGCTCCCCTAGACATTAATTTCGAGCCCTAGTGGTCGTTGTGTTAAGTGTTCATCCACTTAGGCCGTAAGGCATTTGCATATGACCCCGAAAAAAGAATCCGGGGACGTTCTCCTTCTATTTGGCTGATAGAAAGGTTAACGTTACAAAGTGGGGGCCCGTCCGGGATTTAATCTGTCGTTCCAGTTGTTGGTTATATCAGTTAAGCCCTAAGGTTAGTTGGATTTAGTTGTTTTTATATCCAGTAGCGCAGTGTTCTTACAACGCGCGCTCAGGCTAGAGTATCTAGGTCAAATAAGCAGACGTGTCGTCCTACATTTAGAGGTCAAGTACACGGCCCAACACGGTGTGTTAATTTAAAGGATCTAGGCTTGTTGTGATTTTCAAGTAGTGTTATGGAGTCTTTTTTGGCTAATCCTACTGTTGAAGATGTAGAAAAGTTGAGTAGAAAAGTTTTGGTTAGTGTTGTTAAGGAATTGAAATTGGATTATTCTGTTACGCAGAAGTCAGAGGTGTTGAGAGATAAAATTGTTGTTCATTTCATTAATGAAGGAGTATTTGACGAAAGTTTGTTAGCTAGTGTGTTGCTCCGCGAGGAGAAATCTATAGAAGAGAGGGAGCTTCTATTAAAAGAAAAGGAGTTTGAAACTAAAAGTGCTCTAGAGAAGGAGAAAGTTGCTCTAGAGAAACAGGAGTTAGAGGCTAAAATTGCTTTAGATAAGAGGAGGTTGGAATTAGAGTTTGGTCAAGTTAGTGATGTCACTTCTCCGGTAGATCCAGATCCAAAAAAGTTGTCGGTAGGGCAAGTGATTGCCAAATTTGGGAAATTAGTTCCTAAATTTGATGAAACAGATTTGGTCGTTTTCTTTAACTCATTTGAGAGTTTAGCGAAGACATGTGAATGGCCCGAGACTTCCATTACTGCTTTATTGAGCTCTGTCCTTACTGGGAAAGCTGCAAAAACATACCAGGCACTCTCTCACGACGTTCAAAATAACTATAGTTTGGTCAAGACTGCCATTTTAAAGGCCTACGCACTGACGCCCGAGGCCTATCGGACAAAATTCCGAACACTCCGCAAGTTACCCACACAATCATATGTGGAATTTCTCTTTGAAAAGGAGAAAATATTCTCAAGGTGGCTACACTCTGAGGAAGTTTCTGAGTTTGAGAAACTCAGGTCACTTATCCTAAGGGAAGAATTCCTATCGTCCCTGCCTGAAGAGATACGACTACACATTCTGGATAACAAGATAACTGACATCCAGAAGGCTGCTGAGTCGGCTGACACCTATATGTTGGTGCATAAGAAACCACCAGTGTCAGGAAACCGCCTCAACCCCGTGCTTCCCCTTTTTGGCAGCAATCATCCTGTTGGCCAACATTTGAAGACATTACAGTCCAGAGAGAAACCAAGATCAACTCTCAATCGTCGAGCAGTATGCCAGTTCTGCAAAAGGTCTGGGCATCTTGTCAAGGACTGTTACAAACGTCTTCAGAATAACAGAGAGGTGGTGCGTACTTCCGCGCACTATGCTCTATCCCCTCAAGCAGCCAGTTCAACTATGAACTCTAGAATTCTAAAGGACTCTAATCCTAAGTGTCCGCAAGAAGGTAGTCAAGTCTCCACACATTATGTGCAGTCACATTTTGACTGTTCTCGCCACCATCCAGTTTCTTCCGAGTCTACCGATCTCGAGGGATCGAGAAAAGTTGACTTTTCATCTTTTATTGCCGAAGCCATCATTAGCAAACCAGGTGATCCGTTGTCTCAGAAGAATATCACCGTTCTAAGAGACACAGGAGCGTCACAATCACTCCTTTTGAAAAGTTCAATGGACATTACACCAGAGACGAACACCGGAAAGATTTCCATTATCCAGGGAGTGGGGACAAAATCTACTGTCGTCCCTCTACACAAGTTCGCCCTGAAACATCATCTCGTCGAAGGTGAGGTCATTTTAGGTGTGATAGATAGTATTCCTGTCCCAGGAGTACACCTACTTCTAGGGAATGACCTTGCGGGAAGCAAAGTATACCCCTGTACGGTTTCAGACCCTTTGTCAACAGTTCCAGATAATGATTATGAACTGTATCCTGCATGTGCGGTGACAAGAAGCCAGACCAAACAATTGGCTGACACAACGTCTGAACCACACCCGCCATCATCGTCAAGAAATTCGACTCCCAAACTGGAGTCTATGCTTCCAGAAAACACAAGTCTGGGCTTACCCCTGAGGATATCTCAGGAAGACATCATTAAAGCTCAACAAGTCGACGCGGAACTCAAAGAAACGGTCGAAAAATCTCTATCATCTGACGATGGAGAATATTTCGCCGAGAACGGCCTCTTCTTTCGTCGCGCTATACCAGTGATTGCCTCACCGGCCGAACCATGGTTGGGTAAAAACCAGCTGTGGATCCCTCCACCTTATCGGCATGAAATACTTAAGCTGGCCCATGACCATCCAATGTCAGCGCACCCAGGTGTCACTAAAACGACGGCGAAGATCAAAGAACTGTTCTTTTGGCCCAAAATGAGAAAAGATGTGTCGCTTTACTGCAGAAGTTGCACGAACTGTCAGTTGGCCGGAAAGCCAAACCAGACAATTCCTAAGGCCCCTTTGAGTCCGATTCCTGTATTAGAAGAACCTTTTTCTAAAATCGTCATGGACTGTGTAGGTCCCTTGCCTAAAACCAAGGCGGGCAACGAGTACCTACTTACCTTTATGTGTTCAAGTACCCGTTTTCCCGAGGCGATTCCCTTACGGAACATTAAGGCAAAGACTGTAGTCAGAGCCATGACCCGGTTCTTCACTACCTTTGGATTACCTAGAATCGTGCAAACAGATCAAGGCAGCAACTTCACCAGTCACCATTTTCAGGAAGCGCTAGCCAAGCTAGGCGTTACCCACATCACCAGCTCAGCCTACCACCCTCAGTCTCAAGGCGTACTTGAGAGGTTCCACCAAACCCTCAAAACCATGCTAAGGACATTCTCTAATAGTAACACCCAATGGGATGAGTCTGTTCCTTGGATTATTTTCGCCGCGAGGGACTGTGTCCAGGACTCTTTAGGCTACTCGCCTTTTCAACTTGTGTTTGGACATTCTGTCCGTGGCCCCCTGAAGCTGATACACGAACGTTGGTCAGGTACCAGTGATCATCCAGTGGAAAACTTCGACGATTTTCACGTTCGACTGAAAGCCGTGTGCGAAATGGCTCACAAGAACTTAAGAAAGGCCCAAGTTAGAATGAAAGAACTGTATGATAAGAGTTCTTGTAAACGAACATTCAATCCAGGCGACAAAGTTCTTGTGCTAGTACCTAATCTGAACAATGCGTTATCCTTGAGATATTGTGGACCCTTTACTGTGCATTCAAAATTAAGTGATTTGAACTATGTTGTCAATACGCCCGACAGAAGAAAGAAACAGACAGTGTATCATGTCAACTCACTGAAAAAATATTATGATAATTGTAACAATTTTCAATCCACAGCTAAAATTACTTTACCTGTATGTTCAAATGTTTCTGATGATGTGATACATGATAAATTGAAACCCCCAAAATTGGTAAATTCTTCCTTTTTAGATAATTTGAATGTCCACCTTATGCATTTGTCCACAGAGGAAAGCCATAGATTGTCTCAGTTATTTGAGACATTTCCCTCTATTTTTGGGGATGTCCCCAAAGAAGCGAAAGTCCCACCTCATGATGTAGACGTTGGTGACGCAAAACCCATTAAACAACACCCCTATAGAGTTAACCCGGAAAAAGCTGCTTTGATAAAGGATGAAATTGATTATATGCTCAAGAATGATTGAGCCCAGTTTCAGCAACTGGAGTTCCCCATGTCTCCTAGTACCGAAAGACGGTGGATCTTTCAGGTTTGTGACCGACTTTAGGAAGGTGAATGCGCTCACCAAAGCTGATTCCTATCCATTACCTCGGATAGAGGACGTTATTGATAAAGTTGGTCAGGCTAAGATAATTTCCAAAATTGATTTACTTTCAGGATACTGGCAAATCCCCTTATCTGACCGTGCAAAAGAATTATCTGCTTTTGTAACCCCTAATGGTTTTTATAGATACAAACGCATGCCCTTTGGTATGCGAAATGCTGGTCAAACTTTCCAGAGGGTCATTAACTCTGTCATTGCTGACATAGACCAATGTGAGGCCTACATAGATGATATAGTTGTATTTTCTAATACTTTTGAAGAACATATTGTTCAATTGACTAACCTTTTTAGAAAATTGTCTGAAGTTAATTTTACTGTAAACTTACATAAAAGTGATTTCTGTAAAGCTTCAATTTCCTATTTGGGTTATCAAGTGGGAACGAACCAAGTTCGGCCCATTGAAGCTAAAGTAGATGCTATTGTAAGGTTACCACCTCCCAAAAATTGTAAAGAGATCAAAAAGTTCCTTGGGATGGCTGGTTACTATAGGCGGTTCTGTCAAAACTTTTCAGCTATTGCTGAACCTCTTACTGCATTATTGAAAAAGGGTGTTGAGTTTGAATGGTCAGATAAATGTCAAGAAGCTTTTTTAACCATTAAGTCATTTTTATCAAATGCTCCTGTTATGGCTGCACCAAATTTTAGCAAGCCCTTTAAACTTGCCATTGATGCTAGCAACTTAGCCATTGGCTCAGTCCTATTTCAAGAAGACCTCATGGGAATTGACCATCCCAATTGCCTTTTTTTCCAGGAAGTTAAATGAGAACCAAAAGAATTATTCTACTATTGAAAAGGAAGCTTTAGCTTTAGTTTTATCATTACAACATTTTGAAGTCTATGTCTCTTCTTCAACCAATCCAGTCAGAGTGTTTTCTGACCATGACCCCCTGAAATTTACCTCTAAGTTAGGACAGTCAAATCAAAGAATATTGAGATGGTGCTTATATATCCAAAATTTTAATCTGGAAATTTCACACATTAAGGGTAGTGATAATGTTGTGGCTGATTGTTTGTCAAGGATGTAAAATCTTATTGTACACATTGATCATGTGACATGTTTTGTGGTTCATTGAGACCATACACAAGTAGTGTGTTTTAACATGGAAATGAGTGGTATGATTTTTGATTTTTTCAAAATTCCATTCCTGTTGAAAATTTTGTTTATTTTCAGGTGAACCTTAATTAAAGGTAGTTTTTGATTATATGTAATCTTTTATAATAATATGTCTCATATGACTCAATTGATATTGTAGCTAGTCATTGAAATAAAGGTCTTACCCTGGCGGGTTTACCACTTTTAATATTCTCATGGAAAAATTGTAATACCCTTTTTTGAGGGATTTTGATGTATAATTACTTTTTGAAGGGTTTCTCCCCTTTCACCAATTGTAAAAGTTGGAGTTACTTCCCTTTTATGTTCAGGGATATTTTCACCTGGTATTATGATTTTGATTGCCTACATTTGTAAAACATTTTTGTTATTTCATTGCCAGATTGGTTCCTTATGTATGTTTTTGTGGAACCTATCTGTCACTTCCAAAAAGGGAGGGGATGTGACCTACTTAGGTCGAGTCATTTTTATTTTGACATTGTATAATTCCTTATATGGAATGATGGTGTAACACCTGGGGTTTTTCCACTGACTTATTAAGGTGTTTGAGACATAGAAATTTTCCATTAAAATCTGATTGAATGATTCTGATCAGATGATTATCCCAACCAATGGCGACATGAGTTGAGGATAACCTCCCCTGTCACAGAAGTCTTTAATTGCACTGCACACTCGCAACACGGGGCAGTTTTTCTTGACCTAAAAGTCTACGAGGCCGTTTTACCTTGGTCAGGTTGCCGTCCATATTGTCCGGCTATAGACTCTGACCATTTGAACGTGAGAGTACTTAAGACCTGTGTGTGCCTTGCTTTCTTCAGTTGATTTAGTCTTCTAGTTTAATATTACTTGTCGTTAAGTAATTCCTGGAGCTACAGCCGTGTTGTGTGGCCTGTAGCTGTTCTTTAGACAGTGTAGAAATCTGTGATAGTGATTTTTCCTACATTTTGTAAGTTGTGTTTCGATATTTTATACATTAAATATTTTATCTAGTTCATCTTTGTGTTCTGCCACAACTGAGTTCGCTGATTAAAAGGTCGTATGTAGATTGGATGAGTGTTAATTACAATAGTATCACTAGCTCCCCTAGACATTAATTTCGAGCCCTAGTGGTCGTTGTGTTAAGTGTTCATCCACTTAGGCCGTAAGGCATTTGCATATGACCCCGAAAAAAGAATCCGGGGACGTTCTCCTTCTATTTGGCTGATAGAAAGGTTAACGTTACAAGATGCTAAGGGCTCAAATTGGTACTTAAATGTAATTAAAACCAAAAGAAAGGAATATTAAATTAAAACAAGGTTATAGATACGAAAGAGAAAACCTTGTGACACTGGGTTGAGACCCCGTAGCCTGTGATATTAAAAAGTTCACAATCCTTTAATAAAACACAGCGCCATTCATAATTTTTAAAAAATTTATTCCATTTACCAAAACCCTCGACCCCACTTTCTGAAATATTTGTGTTTGGGTTATACCGTGTTCTACAGTTGAGTTTATGTTGTTCAACATCCGGCCGGAAGTCGCTCACACAAGACGTCAAGTCGTGGAACTGTTTTTCTAAGGTCTTCAAATCCTGTCGTAACGTTAAGCGTGATAAACGTCGCCTTCACGAGTTCTAACAGGTAACGGTTATGTGGCATTTTGCGCATGCGTTGCGGCATCTGACACTCGTTCTGAAGGTTTCCTCATGGGTCGGGCAATTTGATTGGTCACTTGGTCCTGTCCGCGTGCGGTTCACCGTGACATTTGACGAACGGGGTAAAGTGAGGGTGGGGGTGATGTCTTAAATGGGCCTGATGGTAACATGAACTTACATGTATGCGATCAGAACAACGCATTCGATAGAAATGTTGGCCAAAATATTTGTCTCGTCAGCTATGTAGGTGTTAAAACAATCCGTTTTTATTTGAACCATTCACTATTTAAAGGGAACCGAGTGGTCGGATAAAAGCAGTAAATGTTTTTAAAAATATCTAGGGATAGGAAGGTACATGTGATGGTTTAATGTTGTCCACAATAGAAATATAGAAATGCTTCACATTTTTGGGTGAGTGGTAGAGGGTGTTAAGGGGGGGGGAGGTGGTGAGTGTTTGGGAGAATTTGTATTTACCTGTGTGTTGCTCAGTGTTTGGGGTATGTTTATATTTACCTGTTTACCTGTGTGGTGGTGAGTGTTTGGGTGATTAGTTTGTATCTACCTGTGTGGTGTGTTTGGGTGAGTAGTTTGTATCTACCTGTGTGGTGTGAGTGTTTGTAGTAAGTTTGTATCTACCTGTGCCACGTGCATCCTGCGTGCTGTAAACAAACACCTGGCCTTGAGGGGGTGCATGACAGCGATGTAGCGCTCTACTGCGATGACCGCCAGCAGGAGGACAGAGGCGCAGAAGCTAAAGCTCTCGGAGAAGTAGGTCAGCTTACACATGGCCTGTAAGGAGAAATGGTCAGCTTACACATGGCCTGTAAGGAGAAATGGTGAGCTTACACATGGCTGTAAGGAGAAATGGTGAGCTTACACATGGCCTGTAAGGAGAAATGGTGAGCTTACACATGGCTGTAAGGAGAAATGGTGAGCTTACACATGGCCTGTAAGGAGAAATGGTGAGCTTACATATAGCCTGTAAGGAGAAATGGTGAGCTTACACATGGCCTGTAAGGAGAAATGGTCAGCTTACACATGGCTGTAATGAGAAATGGTGAGAGAAATGGTGAGCTTACACATGGCCTGTAAGGAGAAATGGTGAGCTTACACATGGCCTGTAAGGAGAAATGGTGAGCTTACACATGGCCTGTAAGGAGCAATGGTCAGCTTACACATGCTCTGTAATGAGAAATGGTGAGCTTACACATGCTCTGTAATGAGAAATGGTGAGCTTACACATGGCCTGTAAGGAGAAATGGTGAGCTTACACATGGCTGTAATGAGAAATGGTCAGCTTACACATGGCTGTAATGAGAAATGGTGAGAGAAATGGTGAGCTTACACATGGCCTGTAAGGAGAAATGGTGAGCTTACACATGGCCTGTAAGGAGAAATGCTGAGCGTACACATGGCCTGTAAGGAGAAAGGGTGAGCTTACACATGGCTGTAATGAGAAATGGTGAGCTTACACATGGCCTGTAAGGAGAAATGGTGAGCTTACACATGGCCTGTAAGGAGAAATGCTGAGCTTACACATGGCCTGTAAGGAGAAATGCTGAGCTTACACATGGCCTGTAAGGAGAAATGGTGAGCTTACACATGGCCTGTAGTGAGAAATGGTGAGCTTACACATAGCCTGTAATGAGAAATGGTGAGCTTACACATGGACTGTAAGGAGAAATTATGAGCTTACACATGGCCTGTAAGGAGAAATGGTGAGAGAAATGGTGAGCTTACACATGGCCTGTAAGGAGAAATGATGAGCTTACACGTGGATGTAATGAGAAATGATGAGCTTACACACGCTAGTTATATCTTCTAAGATCGCCGCTACGCGCGACAGATAGTCTAGCCTTTCGGAAAGAATCTAAAATAAAAATAAAACTATCTTAAGTCGGTGATTCATAAACCCACATCCACCATCATGCATGTTTACAACATCTCAATCTCCAGCTGACATCAATAGTTTGCGGGGTCCAACAGTGAAGCAGTGAATAAATCACGCGCAGACAACTAGATAACTCTCTCTCACACACACAAACACACACACACATAAACACACACACACACACACACAAACACACAAGGAGGACCAAAATAAACGAATCAAAACTCGGTTAACAATGCCCTTGTGCTGAAGATGAATCTAATTAAATCGTTCTCAAAGTTTTGATTTATAGCCCCTGCCGCTGATCGAGAAAATAAATCACTCTGCATTTCAAATTATCATCAGGTTATTTGATATTGCTTGCAGTACACCCTTCACAGTTATTTATTTCTTTTAAATGTATTTCTTTCTTTAATTAATTGGGTTGACGAAACGAAATACTAATTTAGTTAGAGGGCGAAACTGGAATAGAATTCCATGCTTGGCCACTTCATCACATTCTATTGGAGTCCCGTTTAACCAAGATCCTCGTTTGTTAAGTCAAGTTTGTTTACAAAGAGATCGTTCAAAGCTCAATTGATGTTGATCTTCCATTAATCGTGAGCTTCAATGTTCATTAGTTATGTGGGTGTTGGTTCAATTAGTTAAAAACTGTTTACTAGCTTTCGTCACATTTTGCTATTACATGTTTAGAAAGAAAAGTTTGTTTACTTTTTAAATTAATAATTCACATAAAGTCATTTTATAAAATAAAGAGAATATTTTCACGTATATATTTCTATTGTTTAGTACCGATGAAAAAAAAAATGAATCTAAATATATCGACATTATTATTTGCACGGGAATTGATGTGCACTTATCTACAAAGTTAATGAACAGATCGCTTTATTTTTTATGAGTAAAAAAATTGTGTTAGCATTTAAAAAAAAATTGAAACCGCTTTTATAATTCTGTTGAATTTTGTTGAAAAAATGGAACTAACAAATTTTTTGTTTTTATTTAGTTAAATTATTAATCTTATACTGCTGTGTTCAATCGTTAAACTCATGTCTGATCTGTGTGTTACCATGACAATGTCATCCTAAATGCCAAACGTTAACCATGCCACCTGTTACTAAGATCAGACGAGATCTGACCAAATCAGCATTGCCACGGCCTTGGCACGGCCGGGGTTTGAACCTGCTCCCGAGTTTTGTGCAGGACTTAGAAAAACCCCGAGGAATCTAGTAGACCAACGCCAGCATCTTCACACAGAGACGCCAAGTTTTCAGTGGCCGACGCTACATGAGACAACAACACTTTAGCTTCCCGGGACAACGTTGTGATCTGTGTGTTACCATGACAATGTCATCCTAAATGCCAAACGTTAACCATGCCACCTGTTACTAAGATCAGACGAGATCTGACCAAATCAGCATTGCCACGGCCTTGGCACGGCCGGGGTTTGAACCTGCTCCCGAGTTTTGTGCAGGACTTAGAAAAACCCCGAGGAATCTAGTAGACCAACGCCAGCATCTTCACACAGAGACGCCAAGTTTTCAGTGGCCGACGCTACATGAGACAACAACACTTTAGCTTCCCGGGACAACGTTGTGATTGATGAATGACCTCCTCGTCTGATTTTTTGTTTTAACTCAAGCTGAGAAGCACGCGAAGCGCTTGGTCGAGTCGGTTGCTAAGCCAAAAAGTCTCGAGTTCGAACCCTCGGGCAGAGCAACACGATAGCTGGGGACAGCAACTTCTAGAAGAGACAACCTCAAAATCAAACAATTGCTGCCTTGTAATTAGTTATTAGTTGGACAAAGGCTATGGAAGAGAGTCACTTCCAACACTAAAATTAAAAACGAAGAAGAATGAACATCAGCTTGAAGTGTTTTATTTCGACTCAGAAAGAGGGCGGTTTTTGTGTTGCCGTACGAATGATTGTCACATAATTCAACCCCTCCCCCTTTTTCACTTTATGGTTGTGAAAGATTGAAGTTTAGTAAATAGTGAATCACTATGGCAGCAAGGTCACTTCCTGGCGACTGAGGCGAGACTTTTGACACCACGCCGTCTGCCACTGGAGTTCAAGAAAAGGGGAGTTAACAAAACTTTGCGAGTCTAGAACAAGGAATGTAACAAGTACTAGCAGCAGAAAGGTGGAATTTTAAAAACTATTTCAATTTTTATGATCCCCTTTTGAGTCAGTTCAAGTCATTTTTTTTCGATATTGTTATTTTAAAAAAAAATCAAATTATGAACTTTTTAAAAATCCTAATATATAATAGACCATGTGCGCACTTCTCTCTCTCTCTCTCTCTATGTCTGTCCGCAAAATATTTTCCCCGGATATCACGTCAGAATCGGCAGCGATATATGAATACCTTTATGCGGAATTTTGTTGAAAATAATATGTTAGATGTTTTAAAAAATAAAGGCGTATTCGAATGTAGAGAAACAATTTTGATTATACAACAGGAAAAGAATTTATAGTTGTGAAAAAGAATGCATAAAACAGTGACGTCACTAAGTTTCATACATTAACTAACGACGTTATCTACCGTGTTTAGAATAATGAACTATTTCATTCAAATTTGATTTAGATCTACGTACGCTATAAAATTTATACAATACAATTTTGCTCGGGCTAAACTTTTAAAAAAAATTCTATTAGGATTCTAGATCTAGATATTCTAGATCGTCTAGATCTAGAGATTCTAGATCATCTAGATCTAGAGATTCTAGATCATCCAGATCTAGAGATTCTAGATCTAGATCTAGATGATCTAGATCTACGGATAAACTAGACTTACACAGATGTAGACCCTACCTAGATCTAGAATCTATTCAAATAATACATTTCTATACTAAAGTATTTCAGGCCATATTTACTTTATTGAAATCCTGGTTGATCTATGCAATTTGCTAATCTCTATAATATATAAAGCAAAGTTGTCGGGTGCCCGATAGGGCACTTCCCGGCGCCGCAGGCGCTTCAAATTTGGCAGGATCTTGCCTTGGGGCGACAGAACACCGGGGGCCGGTTGGCCGAAAAGTCTACGATGAGGGGGTCAAAACTGACCTCGACCGACCGGCGCCTTATATGAGCTATAAATAAAAAAAAAATGTCCACGTAGGAACCTCTTCATAACTCCTGAGGTCATAGACCGACCCTCGGGCGAATTAATTAAGCATTCAAATTCTCAATGTTTTCGAAAGCCTAAGCGAAGCTGGGCAGCATGCCTAGTAATACAAATAATTAGCTAAATTATAAAAATAAAATAAAGTAAAATAAAAATCGTCTCCTACAAAAAAAAAAATTGGCAAAAAAAAGGAGGAGGGGGGGGGGGGTTGAATTCAAAGACGATTACGCATAAGGGGAACTAGGTACCAGTACGGATTACGTCCCTTAGTTAGCCTTGAATAATTCATCAGCTTAATCCAACAGGTTATTCAGGTTAACTAACACTACGACAATTTTGTTGCTAGTCTTAAGGTTGGGGGTGGATTGTCTTAGCTGAACTCTCTTTAAATATGTGGCAACATTGTTTAACAATAAAAGCAGACGTTAATCCTCAACCATTTCTTTCTGAGACGATTTTTATCTTTTTTGCTTGCCACGAGTTCAGAATTGTAGCTTGACGCAGGTGGAAAATACTCAGGTAGCTTCTACAGTTATGTGAGCTGAAGCGTCCCAAAATCGAGGTAGCGCTTAGACAGCTACATCTAGCCACTACTACAGCCAGTCAGGTAGCCACTACTACAGCCAGTCAGGTAGCCACTACTACAGCCAGTCAGGTAGCCACTACTACAGCCAGTCAGGTAGCCACTACTACAGCCAGTCAGGTAGCCACTACTACAGCCAGTCAGCTAGCCACTACTACAGCCAGTCAGGTCGCCACTACGACAGCCAGTCAGGTCGCCACTACGACAGCCAGTCAGGTCGCCACTACGACAGCCAGTCAGGTCGCCACTACGACAGCCAATCAGGAAGCCACTACGACAGCCAACCATTCAGTCAGTAACAATACATTATGCCATGATGTGAAAGAACGTTGCTTCGTGTCTGATGAGTTTTACTGTAAATCTTGAAGGTACTATACTACAAGTTTCTGGAACCTTCGAGCATAACCCGGCCAGATTTCTTGACGGAATCCTTGCGTAGGTTCAGGGAACCGCATTAGGCCGGCATAAACCGGCGTAGATTTCCCAGAAGACTTAGCGGCTTGCGTGTGAAAATTGGAAAGATAAACTTTGGACTATATTTTCAAAACAGTCACGTGACTTGCATAGATTCCAAGCGTCCCAATCAACTGTATATTGGAAACTTGATCTTAATAATCAACCGGTAAAGCCGGTCTCCTCTGATTTACTGCCGGTAGAGCCGGAACTGATATACTACCCATGAGAACAATATTCCCCAGAAAGTGCTGGGAAAGCGTAGGGTAGCAGGTTTTTACAAGAACAACCAAAGCAATGTTAAAGTGCTTTAGATGTGTTTTATGTTTGAGCTCCCAATAATTCTAGATCCACACTATCTCTCTATGTACTTATAGGGAACAAAAAAACTGGACTGGCCGTTACAAAGCTCAGTCCTGGAGAAATCACAAAAGAAAATTTCGTGATAAAGGAAATTTGTATTTCCGCTAGACTCGAACATAAATCCATCTTCAGACTACATGTGTGATTTGGTCCGAGTATT